TGTGTATTTGAAAGAGTTAAATGAGAGCACAAGGTATTTCAGCGGAGGTGCGTTCCATGTGCATTTACTTGAATGAGAGAAAACAATTTAGACAGCTCAGGCAATGGTTTGCACTATTTTATCAATGAGCATCGGCCCCAGAGTGACAGTTTGAGGGGACAGTGGCATTCTGGTGTACTCTGTATCAGTCTTCGTTCTCTCGTGCCTTGCATACTGGAAGCATCTCAGTATGATTGAGTGTGCTGTGTTCACAGTGTTCAGCTGAGTGTGCGTTTTTTCTGCAGCTTAGCTCTAAACTAAGCTGACTTCTTCCCTAGCATTTTCATCAGAGAAACAGCATTCCATTTCAACATGGAAATCTTGCTGTAATGAGCAAGTATTGGGAAACAGTAGTCAGTCTCTAATGTGATGCCTTCTTCTGACGGAATTTACAAGATCAATTTGACTATACTGTTTTTACATACTGACTTTAGAACCTAATCTGAAATGAGGTTCAGTTTACCTCAATTATGATATGAGCCATTGTACTGTAAGAGTGAAAGCCGAAAGAGATGAAGAGGGACCAAGATTCTTAGGGTTGGCTTCATGGGAGAATAAAGAGCTTGAGATGTATCCCACAGGAGGGATTAGAATTAGATAGGTTTACTTATTTGTTCTCTTTTGTGAGACCGTAAGGTGAGTGAGGACAGGGTATTGTTCCTGGAAATAACCACATTCCTAACTTGTAGTTTGGTTAGTGGGTGGGACGGACAGACGGACAGACAAATTGATGGACTAAAGCATGTTCAGTATAGAGCTAGAACGTGATTGAAAGCAAGGCGATGGTAATAAAGAGGAGAATATAAATGGATGAAAAGTATTGTGATATGAGAACTTAAGAGATGAGGCCGGATCCTAAAGTGCAGTAAGTGTCGTGTTAAGGAGTCTAGACTTTATCTTGTCAGTGACAAGAAATTAGTTTGAACAGGTAAATGCTGTGATGCTGAGTGGCCTTAGATACAACTTCCATAGAAACTGGTACTCGTTTGTTCATGGTATTAATCTTCAATACAGATTTTAGCTTAGAAATAAAGTATGTAAGACCTCATCACTGAAGGGGGACCTGGCAATTATCTGATGGAGCCAGGCCATATAGCATAATGTTAACAAAAACCTGGGTTTTTAATCCAAGCCTTACCACTTACACACCTATGTAATCTTAGACAAATGCCTTAACCTCTGCAAACCTCAGTTTCTTCTTATGTAAAATGAGATATTGGTAGTGCCTAACTCATATAATTATGGTGAAGGTTAAATGAAATAAGTGTTTAGTGCAATGCCCCACATCTACAGAGTGTTCAATAAAGCTTGCATAGTTATTAAATAACCTCCCACCAGACACAAGAATCCATGCTTAGAATTATAGTCTCCAAAAATCCTTTGATGGGGAGCTCATTACCTAGAGAATCCAATGTTTTTCTTTGCTGGGGCAGATTTTATTCATTTAACACATTTATTGAGAATCGACTCATATACATTGAGAATAGAGAGATGTATAAAGTAGACAAAAAATCTTGTATGTATTCACGTGTGTGCACACACATTTGTTTGTTTGTTCAAACATCCTTGAAATTGAGCTAGAAAAAAGACCTTTCTGCCCCAGACTCCCAACCATTTGTCCAGGATCTACTAGGACATATTGTCTTTACCCTTTTTTTACATGACAGCTTTTAAAATAGCTAAGCCCTACATTCTTCTCTAAACTAAAACTGTTGTTTTTGACTAGTATTCACAAAACAGGAGTCTTTGTGTTTTAGCTGTGTTTGTATGGATGCTATATATACTTTAATCACCCTGTTAGGAAACCAGTGCATTTACAATAGCCACTCATTTCTGAGCATCCTCATACTGTATATTAAATACGAGAAGTGGTGTTGTGTAACGGAACAAGTAAAGGTCTGAAATCAGATTAGCAAAAGTTCACACCCCTCCTCTGTACCTTAGAGAAGTCTTAACAGATCAGAGCTTTGATAGACACATCTGTAAAATGAACACAATAATACTTACTTCACTGATTACCATGAAGACTAAACGAGAGAAATTGTATAAAGCATGGAGTACTCAGAAGCTGTTCAGTGAGTCTTAGTTGCTTCAACCCTTGGCATTCACATCTCTTATCTCTGGATTATTAATATCTCATTAGTTCCCAACAGTGAAATGACTCTTTGGAGACTATTCTTTGCTATCACACTTTCATGTGAACCCAGCTGGCTGGCATCCCTCTTGAACAGCAATCCTTATTTCTGTGAGCAAAGCAGGTTAGTCCCAGGGCAGCAATCAGTACCTGGTCTCTGTCAGTCCTTAGCAGAGTCGGCTAATATTTTATTCATTAGCTCTAAATATGGCTTTTCTCCCATTAGGAAGTGTCAGAGGGTAGTCCTGACTCTGGGAATCTCAGCAACTAGACACTAAGGAAGGGAGAAGCTCTTTATTTCACTAGTAGAAAAGATTCAGACAGTACCATGTTTTTCAGATGAAGGGCTGTGAGTAGATCTCAGGAGTGTACCGTTTTCTCTCCCAAACTTTTTAATTTTGTGTTTTCATTGATGATAGTCTTTAAAAGATAATATAAGCCTATTTTGAATCTTCTGGATGAACCCTTTCAACCTAATACTTTGGAACATGCTTTTGTATTTGTGTTTTTGATATCTCTACCCCATGCAGACTGGGAAACACAAACGCCTCCTGGAGTTGGGCAGATTACGGTACTGGGTCGAGGGCCTACATTAGACAACTAGGAAGAGCAGATGCTGTGGAAGTGGGGAGTGAATGCCTTATCTAGGGCATTCAAGTAAAACAAAGACGATATCAGAACACTGTGGCCAAACAAAACATATCTTATTTGAATAGTGATAACTGCTATAAAGAAAAAACTCTTGTAAGTATTAAGATTGTAACTGGGGATTTGACAGTAAAAGAAAAGAAGTATTGGATGTTTAAGAAAGTCCTCTCTGAGGTGGTGACATTCGAGTCGAGACCTGAATGGTGAGGACCCTGTCATGGAAGGTCTAGGAGAAGAACTTTCCAGGGAGAGGCAACAACTGTGCAGTCTCAAGGGAGAACATCCTCCTCACCTTTAAAGATCCAGAAAGCGGGGAAGAAGCATGGATACAACACAGCGTGCTAGGGGAATGCTGGTAGGACTCTTGCGAGCCATGCAATGAATTTGGATTTTGCAATAAATGCATTGGGAGGTCATAGGAGAATTTTAAGCCAACAGTGACATGAGCTGGCATTTATTTTGTAAAGATCATTCTGGATGCCGTATAAATAATACCTTTCATGAAGAAACATGGGACAAGAGGAGGACAGCCAAGGAAGCCACTACAACAACATGACAATTATAATAGCATTAAAAATAGCAATCCACACTTACATATTGTCTGTTCCAAGTACATATATGATTCTATTTATGGCAGTCTTAAGTGGATGAAATCATCCCATTTTGTAGATGAGGAAACTGAATCACAGAAGCGAAATAATTTGATGTGCACAAGGTGGTAGAAATGGAGATAAAGAAATTAATGGATTCAAGCTATATTTGGGAGGCAAGCCAGCAATTGCTGGATTAGCTGTGGGGAGTGAGACGTGAGAGGAAGATAGGAATCTAGGACCACTTCCAGGTGATTTGCTTTTTCTATCATTGTTGATATGAACACATGTGGAGCACTTGGCACATCATCAGTGCTCAGTACAAGACTGATTCTTCCTGAAAGCTATTTGTGATTGCTTTCTACTTAACAAAACAAAAGAAGTATGTCATTGTTCCTTTGTGTGCATAATATCAGAATCTCTAAAGACGAGTCTAAATTGTTTGCAACTACAGTGCTCCTTCTGAATGGCCGTTTTAGGTAATTAGGACTGGTGTAGACCTGCTCTGACCAACCAACAGCAAAGCAGGCTCCTGTATAATATCTGGGAGGTGAAAGTGGGCCCCAATATCTCAGTGTACTAAATTGGATGGCTATGGGGCATGAATGAAGAGCAGGAATTTTAAGCCTGTGCATTATAAAGTTTTAGACCCAGAACATTCAGGTGGCTTCAGCTTAAGCCTCTTTAATAATTTCTTATTATCCCTTTTTAATTGGGCTTCAGGGACACAACAAGGACACTGTTTGGCCTGCCTTTCACAAGGTAGGAGTCATGGATTTTACTTAGGGTTTTTCTTTTCTTTCATATTTTCAAGTATTCCTCCTTTTAAGAAAATCACCTAAAGATTCTATTTATTGAGCACTTTCCAAAGATAACACCTTGCGCTCTATACTTTATCTAGTCTACCCTCTCATTTTAAAACTCCCAATTACAACTATCCCATGAAGTAAGTGGACTCTCCGACCATAGGGCCAGGTTAAGTCATCCAGGATGGTGCAACTAGATCAGCAGTTCCAGGGTCTGGCCAAGTGAGCCTAGATGCAGAGCACAGCCTCCCAGCCACCACTTAGGCTGCCTTATTGCAGATTCACATGAGATCTTCATTTAAGGCAAAAGAAGGGAAGGTTTAACAGACTCACAGCCTACTCTACAAACTGAGCCTGGACATTCTCCAGGCCAGTGTTCTTGAACATCTGCCTTAGGATTTTATTTTCTGTCTGCAGAAAGATCTGTGTAAGGAAGGCTGGCCAGGGTAGAGCCAAAGTATGAAAGCATTTGGAGCCAAGCCTTGGCTTCTCTCTTTAGTGGCATTCAAACGATAAGCTGGAAAAAGTCATAATTTATGAAGAAATCAGACAATCACAAGTTGCAGACTTGGAGTCTATTTTTGTACATAGAAAGAAAGGTACAAAGAAAAGTTAATGAAAACTAATCTTTGAATATATGGCCATGTGTGGAGAATTGCTCAGCCCTTTACATCTGTCAGACTCATTTTAGCCCCATGAGCATCTTAGAAGGGCAAAATTAATATTTCTAGTTTGTAGATAAGAAACCAAGGGCTCAGTGACATTTCATGACTTCCTCTAAAGTACAAGATAATACAGAGCTTATCCAGGATGTGAACTCAGGACTGTATGTTTATAAAGATTTTCAGCTACACTATTCTGTCTCAGAATTTTTCCAACATGAAGGATCTGGGGAGATATCTGTGAGACTGTAAACTCTATAAGGGGAGGGATTGCCTGTCTTTTTCACCTTTGTTTCCCCAGATATGAAAGTAATAATTCTTTAATGACTAAGTAAGTGATAGACTAAGGAAGTAACAGATAAACAGATTGATGGGGAGAAGGATGGACAGATAGAATGATATTACCTTCCATGAACTTTTATATAAAGAAAACATTCTAAGAATCTGTTATCTTTATTTCGTATTAATTTGCATATGTAATATAGCCTTCTAATATTAAACAAAGCTAATTAGTATGATCTGAGCTCTTCGTTTGGCCTTGTATATTATGTAAAGACTGCTGCCACGTGAAGATATGAACTCAAATGAAATCCTCTTTCTTCTGCTCTTTTTCAGTCTAGCTTCCAGCTAGTAACACTCTGCCAAGAAGCTTGTCATTATTTTAGCCCTCATGAAGGGCACTTTCCTGTCTTCATCCTCTTCTGTGGACTCAATACACTTTGAATTCAATATTTATTTAATCAGACTAATCATTGAGCACTTCACCTCCATTTTATCTTTAGAATAAAATTGAAAAATCGCAAACTCTTTACCGGAGCCAAGGTCTTATATGTTCTGGCCCCTCTTTACTCTCCACTCTTTACTCTTCTCCTCACCCCCTCCCTCCCTCGATCGCTGTCTTCAGCCCACTGACTGTCATTTTATCTTCTCCTCAAACACAACAAGCATTTTCTTACCGAGCAGAAATATTTGCTTTTTCCTGTGTATAGGATGGTCTTCTCCCAGATCTTCATCTGATAAGCTCTTTCTCATCATTACCATTCATTCGTTCGTTCATACATACATACAATGAACATTTACTGAGCCCCAAGTATGTGCCAGACATTGTTCTAGGTGCTGGTAATGCAACAGAAAACAAAACAAACCCTCTACCCTCGTGGAATACGCACTTTAGTTGGGAAGAAAGGCAAGTTACCAAATAATGATATGACGTAAGGTAATGATAGATGCTTAAATGTCAGTCTCCCTGACTATAGCTCACGTTTCCTCTCCCAAGCTACCATCTATTCCATATTTAAGCATGCTTTATTCTCCCGTTGATATTTATTAATGCTTCAAAGGATAATATTTATTCTAGTTATTCTACTTATTCTTGAGCTCAAGGACCTTGCCGTTATTTGCTTTTATGTTGTAGAACAGTCCTTGGTGCAGAAGAGAAGCTCAATGAAAAAAAAAATAATGATGTAATATTATCTACCAGTCCATCTAAGAGTTAGTAGCATTTCCGTGAGTATCACAGGAGAATAAAGACAGCTAGGAGCCTATAATGTGCCAGGCACTGTGTTAGTCACTGGGACTCAGCAGTGAGTTATATACAGGATCCCAGATCAAGAGCTACAAAATTAAACTAATTAAAAAAAAAGATATAATTTTTAAAAGTACAACAACTATTAAGAGCGGTATAAAGCAGAGGATTGTGGGAAATAGAAATAGCTGAGAGGAAGGTTATTTGGAAAAGGGAGCAGGAGAAGGACTTTCTTGATGGCAACATCTAAGGTAAGACTTGATGGTTGAGAAGGAGCTGGCCTTACAGAAAGTATTGCAGACAGCGGGAATGGCATTTGCAAAGTCCTCAAGGTAGGAGAGAGCATGATATCCTTCCAGAACAGAAAAGAGGCCAGTGTGGTTAGACTGTAATAAGGGAGGAAGAGAAAGGTAGGAGTATGGAGAGGTTGCTAGGAGTGAGGTCGTAAAGATGAGGTGCTTGATGGTTTTGTTGTCGTCTGTTTTTAATTATAAACCATAGGAAGAGGAAACCTCTAGAGAGTCTTAAGGAGGATTGCGACAAGATCTAAATTATCTTTTAAAAATCATCTTGGCTGCTATGTGGAGAATGGATTATAGGAAGACCAGAGAGAATGACACTTAATTTGTATTTTAAAGACTAGGTAGTTTTATGAAGAGCACATTGGTAGTAAAGATATTACAGGCAGAGGAGCCACACATACAGCACAGAGGCAGGA